GTCATGCATAAAAAACTTGGAAATCAGCCAGTCTCCACATTTACCAGGTACAAAATTACAGGGAGCATTAGGTCATGATCTTAAACCTCTCTATCTGTCGTACCACAGAGATAATGCCTCTGCTAAGGCAAAAATCTAGCCAGTCCAACAGCCACGATTATGACCTTCATTAGTGTTAATGTTCGAAACCTCACATAAGCTTCTACTGTCATTGCGGGAGACTCATCATGCACACCAATCCCAAGAGTTCATAATTGGAATGCCCAAAGGACAGGCATGGATACAGGGCACTGGAATGGCATATGCCAGAACTATACAGAGACTGGATTTCCTTCGACACTGACTATTGCCTGTTCTCACCAGCTTGCTACAGCTTCAGGTGGTTTATGCAGTGGAGGGGTGTGTGTGTACACACAAACAGTTGCAAACCTGTTGTTTTATCCATGAGAAACTTTTCAGGCAGAGAAGGGAGGCAAGGGGGAGGGAAACATATTATCATATATGTTAAGTAATGTTGGAGTATGTTTTGTCTCGGCCCATAACAACTGTGTACCCAGGGAGAGCTCATCAGGAGCCACTAGCACTACTCCACTGCAGAAGGGGTGCACCCACAGAGCAGTGCGTTTCATTGAAGAGAAAGAGCAAGTGTAATGTGATCTGCTGCACATTCCTGAAGACTGGCACTGGTTGCAGTCACATTCAGCTGTAATTAAATGTTTAGCCACATTCCGACTGTCCTATAGTTTCACAAAATCATGCAAAAAAAATCACAAGAAAGGGAATTAAAACTTAGAAAGACCCTCTGTTTGTCTATCCTCTGATTACAATTTGCCACAACTTTTCTCAACAGCTGAGGCCCTTCTTGCATATTTTCTCCCAAGACAAACAGCATTAGCAAAGTCACAACAATAATGCCACAATTTGAAGCTCACGTAACTCCTTATTTTTCAACAGCCTGGGGTTTTTGCATACACGTGCTGGTCTGCCACCTCTTGAGGCATCCAACTCCAAGGAACTGTCAGTTTGAAAAGAAGTACTTGGGAAAGCCCCCCTTTACTGGTTAGCTGAGGTAAGTTAAGTGCCAAATGGTTTTAATAGTGACACTCCAGAGCTTAGGTGGACCTTTTTTTTTTTTTTCCTGTGGCTAGAAAATTTTAAGTGGATGTTGACACTGCTATGGCAGATTCTTGGAGATTTTAAAGTGATATTGAGGCTGTTGAGGTAAGCAGGCAACAAAATCCCAGAGCTTTGTTTCCTCTTACCATGCCACCCTTAATTATATGAAGAAATGCTTCTCGGAATAGTGGTGTCATATTTGATATACAACACACTGCAGTCTTAGCTCTGCATTTTCCCTTTCATTGAATCCTGGCTTAAATGCTTAAGTTCCTACTCTGCTTCAGAAGTGCATTCTACTTGTTATTAATGTGATATGGATAACAGAATCAATACAACGTTTAAAGGCATTAGCCCCCCATATTAAGCCCATTCCTAACTTCTCAACCAGATGAAGCAGGGAGCCAGACGAACAAATTATTGTCAGTGGTTTTACAAATGAGTGCTTTGTATCAAATTCTTAAATCCTTTCTTAGACAACTCCGTAAAATGAAACTAAAAGCATAGCCACGGTGCACTTAACACAGTAAACCCAACACTAAAAGGGCATGTGTGGTACCATGCTAGTGGAACCTGTTAGTTCCCTTGTATGTCCTTTAGCGTGGAGATCTCTCCCACTCCTTGTTTCCAACACAGCTGAGCACTTGCTCCCCGCTCCTCCTCCCCCAGCAAAATGAATGGCAGAATCTCCAAAAACGAGGCACTAAAGTGAGTGTGGCAGACCTTGGATTATCTGCCTTTCTGCAGGCTGCATGCACCTGCACTTGGGCCTCTGGAATCTGTGTCTAGGGGCTTTTTTCAGGTGCTCTTTGGCATAGCAAAGCTGTTGGGAAAGGCATAATCTTGCTTCCAATGAATGTTTGGAGTATGTGCGATAAAAACGCAGCATGTGAGGGGGCTGCCAACAAGCATCTGGAGTGTCAGAGATGACTTTGTGCTGCTGACTTAACTGCTGACATTCTGCAGTGTGAAAGAATCTGACCAGTTCTCTACAGAAGGAGCACAAAGCATGACCGGAGATGAAAAGGTACTTCAGTAATGCCTTCGGGTCCCAGCTGAGGTCTTTTGAAGCCTCTTTATGCCAGGCTGCCTGACAATGCACAGTGAGAGGGAAGCTCCCGCAGAGAAGGCACATGGAACGGGAAGGGAAAAGCAGGAGAAAAGGTAATTTCCTAAGACACAGGAGGTCAGCATCAAAAGCATAAATTGAGTCCAAAACCTCATCAGCACATGTCCATACCTGCTTCTGTCACCCCATTTGTCATGGCATGCACTGGCCTGTGATTTTTAAAACAGCACATGAGAGAGCTGCAAAAAGTCAACTACCATTCCCCTATTTGTTGTGAAAATACCAACAGTTCAGTGGGATAGAAATGATGGCCCTGCTGCATGGCTTTGGGCAGGTATGCCTTCCTTTATGGAGAAAGCCTCTTTCAGGGGGATGGCTTAACAAAAAGCCTGTCCATCTGCAAAACAGCTCTTGTCAGCCAAGCACCAAGTGAGGAGAGTGGGAGAGCCACAGACTGAGAAGCTTTCTGTCCACCTGCAGGACCCTTAAAAAAATTGCCCCCATATATGGCAGGAAGTTCAGCACGAGCTGAAGCTGTCAGAGACGAGCTGTTTCCTGCCAAGTGCTGTTTGACTCCGTTCAGAGCCCCAGAAGGAAGCTGAGGTCAGGGATTTGGTGCCTGTTGGCTACTAGCCCTGCCACAGCTCTGCCTCATCAACAGCTCCCACCCATGTAATGCAGTGGATATAAGTCTCACCACGGGACTGATCTCTGGTCCCCACCGTTGGTGACATTTTAAGCCACTGCAGCATTTGTAACATTAATAGCAAGATCTCCACTGCTTTTACACATTTTAGAGGTTAGGCTATCTCTAGTAGCTCTAGCCCTGAGTATTTTCAGTAGAGAAGTTCTCACCCACCTTATGTGAAATGGTGCTGTAACCCAGTCCCAAATCTACAGCTTAATATTATGAAGAAAGTGGCAGTTGCCTTCAAGTAAGCTATGCGAGTTTATGTTAGCTGTGGATGAGGTTCTGCAAAGATTATTTTTTATCAAAATACTGAAATTGTTTAGCATTAGCTTATATTGAAAAAATGAGAATACATTTCTGTAAACATTTTGCTAGAATAGATTCTGATTTCTACTACTCACTGGTCAGTAATTACATTGTGACCATTTAAATGCCTGCAGTAAATAATAATAAAAAAAAATTCAGAAGCAGTGGCTCAGATGTTATAATTTTAAATAACATTTTAAACATACCCATTTATAATCATTGCAACACCAGTACCTTCTATGCATAGAAGTTAGCTATGGTTATTCTTCACTGCATTAAAATTGAAATCAATATAGAAATATATTAATCTATAATTAAAGAATACTAAAGAATAGCGGTATGGCCAAAATTTCATCCTTTATTTATATTAGGTGACCACTGTGGTTATATCTGTGCATTTCCACAATCAGGGCTTTCCACTAACAAGTCAGTGAAGGCATTTCAAAGGTTGTCAGACTGCATCAACAAGTAATGGGGACTTCTTTTCTCAGCCTTTTAGCTACAAAGAAGTTTGTTATCTCATATAAATATAAGACATCTTAGATATCTGCTGGGCTTAGCCTCTGTAGTGAGAACTTTTAGCTAAAGAACCATAAATAAATGACAGTATCTCTTGCTTAAAGGTTCAAGCCTACTGACTCGTTTGTCTCCTTCTCATATATCTTTTCCACATGTGTGTAAGCATCACAAAGGTTTAATTTATGCTGATTTAATCTTGACAGGACTTAAGCGCATGAACAACTTGGTACAGCGTGGATTGCTCCATCGATTACGATGGGCTTGCATACATGAAGAGGAGTTCATGTGTGCATTTTGCTAGCTTTTCCAGCACCAATCCAACTGTGTAAATCCAGATAGCCCACGGAATTTTGGGTAGAATCTCAAGATAAAAAAGTGCTGATAGTTTACATTATATGACTTATAAAAATCATACAAGGTAAAAATGCAGTGTAAACAAGACATGCAGAAGCCCTTTCATAGAACAAAGCCTATTAGATCTATTTTTGTTGCAAACTTTCATTGTGAGAAGTTAATTCTGTAGAGGACAAAAGAAAAAAAAAAAAAAAAAACCCAAGCCCTGTTGCAGTCCGGTTCTATACCTTATGCATAACTTCAAAACTACTAAGAGTTCTTTTGACTCGCACAGTACTGAGCTTTCTGAAGTACGAGACTTTCACATTTACTTCAGTTGAGTTTTCCTGGCAGAGCTGAGGGGAAAA